AAAGCTATTATATCTTTATTTAATTATTTTTTTTAGTTTCAAGGATAATCTTGCCTGTATGTTTTTTTTTATTAGTAATAATATAAGATTACATATTATATACAGGGTATATTAATGAAAGTACAACTAGTTATATATATAACTTTAGTCATTTTCTAATTAAGAATTTTGCCTATAGGTTACTTACTAAAGCTATATTTATGACCTACTTGTGAGTCTTCTATTTAAACTTTCTAATTTTTAACACTTAATGCATATATATACAATGTATATTACTATTATCATAACAGAACAAGTTAGGGCTATCTAATTACTATTTATATCTAAATACCACCTTATTGGATGTTACTAAGTATCTATAGTCCTTTGAATTTACTCTTAATGCAAACTTACTAAATATGGTACCAAGATTACCCTTTAGATTTATCTAATTTTAGTAGATCTCATATCTACTAGAACCAGTTTGGTGTCAAAAGTGTTTGAATTTCAGTAAGTCTATTTCTTTTTTATAATTTCCTTTTATATTTATTGTATCATCTGCTAGTGCATCTTCTCTTTATTTCTAATATATTTATCACTTCTTTCATATTGAGTATTAACTCTTCATATTGGGAAACTTCTTTTTAGAAACTTTCTTATACACTAATCTTCTAATCACATAGATTTAGCCACAGAGCTTCACATATATTCATATGCTTTTATAGATTACAAAGTTTTTGCTTCTAGCTAGAATTGAACTGTTGATCTTGTCTGCAGAAAAAGGGGTGCCTAGACCACTAAGCTATAAGACTTCATCTCTGTTTTATTCAATTATTGCTTTAATTCAAGTCAAATTCCCAAACAATAAAAATATAGTAAAATTTATCTGATTTCAAAATATAATATATTTAATAGTAACTTAAGCCTCACTTGTTCTATTAGTCTTATTGAACATATTCGAAAAGTCTATACAAAAATCATTACTACTAAAATTAGTACTGTGTTTTTCAACATCCTATACTTTTATTATACAATTATGTTGCTTTATCTAACAACAATACATCTATACCAATTTTCATATTTAATAACCTTATTGAAGATGCATTATATAACAACAAACTAATTTGGCTTTTATCTCAAGATATGAATAAAGCATATAACTTAGTTAATCTTACTCTTATTTAAAAATCTTTACAATGTCTTGCTCTCTTTTACTTTATTATAAATGTTATTACTAACATTTTTCATAATTGACAAAATCAAGTTATTACAAATCTTGAACTTATTCTATTATATCTTGTACTCAATAATATTGATTAGGATAAAACTATTACTTCTTTTTTATAGTGAATCTACTATAACCCACTTATTTTATATATTTATGACAACTACAAAGATTATATTATACAAGTCTCTTGGCTAACTAATCTAAAACATCAAACACATAACAAGCTTAGCTTATACTGTTTAGCTCTTGTTTATATAAATAATACTCTCTAGACTGCATCATTATAACAAGAACTATTACAAATTCTTTTTACAACTAAATTATTCTTTAATATAGCTAATATACAAATTAATCTTACTAAATCTGAACTTACAACTAATAACAAACAAATCAACTATACTTTTATTATATATAACAACCATTCTTTTAATCTTCATATACCAAATAAACTATTTAAATTTCTTGAATGCTAGTTTATACTTAATAACAAACAAGCCAAATAAACTAAACTCATTATTGTAGAATCATCACATCTTGTCAAAATTGTAATTACTAAACAAATTGCTAATATATATGCATATTATATTATCAATACTGTTATTATTTCTACAATTAAATACTGTCTTTATAACATTGTTTTTAACTAATATATATGTAACAAAATTTTTACAAGTTATATAGAATTTGTGAAAAGCAAAGCTAAACTCAGTTTCACAATTTCTATTAGCATATTACTTCATTTCCAACTATATAATATCTATAATATATGAGATATTCAACTACAACATTATATTACAAACTTTACTAAAAGACTTAATTTTTCTAATCTATTAGAAATAAGTACTTGCATTAGGTTTCAACAACTTCAGAACAACTTATGATCACCTACTAGTATTCTAATACATAACAATTCTATTATTGATAGGCCTAGCATATTGTTAACTTTAAAATTATTCAACTTTTTAAACACTTTGGTATTACATTTGCATCTAACCTATTATACAATATTCTATAAACTGTTTAAGAAAAATCTATTTATTTGAATCATTACTTTTATTATATTCAAAATATTTAACTTTTAAAAAACAACTTAGATACCATTATATTCTTTATTTAGATCAACTAATTACATTTGATAACTTATGTTTTTTAAATTGGAAACATATATCTATATGTATAAATAAAATTCCTAAAGGCAAACAATTACTTTTGTTAATTATTTAGAAGATCAAACTACAAGTTATTTATACAATTGTATACTTTATTAACATTTATACTTACCTAATACAAACTATTATAGTTATTCAATTGGACACTTTTCTTTATGAAAAAACTATAGCTTATTATAGTACTTGATAATCAAATCATTACTAGCAAAGTCAGAAGACAAACCTTTTCTTTAGAAACCATTCTTATTACTTATTGGCAATGTTACATAGAACAAAAATTTACTTGTCTATATTCACTTCCACCTATCTAATTACAAGCATGTCTAGGTTGCTCTTTCAACTTTTATACAATTACCAATAAATATATAATCAATATCTCTATCAATTTCTTTTCTAGATTTTTTGATCAAGTTAATACATATAATAAAACTTTTAATTTCAATACCAATTACCTTGATCTTATATACTTTATTGCAATTTAATATTCCTAATTTTTCTAATATCAACATTACAACAAATCTAATTTTAACCATATTTGAACCTGATATTTTAATAGATAATCTTTAACAAATCACTAACTATAATATATAATTATCAGAACTTTATTTTTATACAAATGGCTCTATCATTAATCAGAATACCTCACAATACTTTATGGGCATTAAATGGACCCAAATTTTAAATAACAATATACTGTATACATTTCAAGTCTAAATAAGATATTGGTCTTACTTATTTAAGTTTGAGCTTACTACAGCTTCTAGAAACTGTACTATATATATATATACTAATTTACAGTCTGTAATTTTTAAATATTACAGTCTTTTAAACTCATTCATATTCTATTTTACATATATACATTATATTTTTTAATATGAAATATACTTATTAATTTTATCAAATTATACAATATTTATATTATTTTTTACAAAATCATTGCTTACCAGAATAATTAATACAATAACTTTGCAGACCAACTTGTATGCAGTCATCACAACTTATTTTATTTTACTTTTATGTCTTATAATATTTACAATCTTATATATACTTAAAATTTGAAAACTTCTCTTTGAAATTACTTATTCATCACAGTATCTGTATAATATATTATGTACATATTTATACATTATAGATCATACAAAACTGTTTTCAAAAATAATACAAAATCTTTAATCAAATTAATTGATAAGCCACCTGACTATACATTGATAACAATTAAAAATCTCAAACTTCTCATATAGCTTTTAGTCATCTATTTTTAAATTCTTTAGAATTAAAATTCTACTAAATGATCTTCCTACTCCACATATTTTATACAAACAAAATCACTTATACTTACCTATTTGTTATTAATATCATCAAATCAGTTTTCACCTTCACTAAACAACTTGTATATCTAATTAATTGTTATATAGTCTTATAGATATTTTATTACAACATACTTTAAATACTAAAACACTTAATACTGCTTCAAATACTATAACTAATTTACATAATCAAATTAAGTTATTGAGTAGTTTAACTATTTACAGTATATCAGACTTATTTTCAATTTACTTAACTCTAACTGATCTAATACTAAATAAACTTATTGACATTATTACAAGTTTGTCATCTAAAAAAATAGTCACAACACTTATTATCAAGTTCTTACTTCATCTTAATTAATAAATCTATTATAAAATCTGGATTCTATACTGTATTTCAAGATCTATAACTTAATCTCCTAAATATAACACATTTTCAAATTCTATCATATTCTCTTTTACTCAATTCTATTAGTTCAAAAATAAACTCTTGATATATCCAATGAATTATATATCAAACTAATCTTTTATTATAATTACTAATTCTCAAATCTAAATAAGTTTAAACCACTCTGATTGGTTTAGGTCACAGATAAATTATAATATTTTAAAAGCAGAATTGTACTTTATGTAAAATCTCAATTAAATATCCAATAAAGATAGAGACATGGCCTCACCATTAATATTAAAAAAAAACAATGTATTTGTAAAAATAATAAATAATACAAAGTTGCCAGAAAGCAAACCTAATTACAAATATATAACAAACAAATACAGATATTAAAGATAAGATAGTTTAAAAAAACAACTTAATCTGTCTAATAATAACAAGAGTAAAAGAAATAGAAATAAGCATCAGAGCAAAGAATGATTTACAGAAAGTATATAAATACTAGGAAATCAGAAACAACTGATTGAAGATCATCACGGGAACCCTCAATTCTCGATTTTGTTGTTAGTTTCGGACAAACATTGAGTTCTCGCTATGCTTTGGACAATAATACAAAGATACAAGAACTACTGGAAACAAAAATCTAAAAAAAATATGCTGTATACTAAACAGTTTAAGGATATTAATTTTATTTATTTTATAATACATTAGGTTTGTATATCATATTTAATAAGATGAACAATATCTATTACTAATTTGTCTTAATTTTCTATATAAACTTTGTCAACCAACTCATCCTGAAAGCTCTACTGGCCAAACTTTCCCCTTTTGGTAATAAGGCCATTCCATCTTTTCGGTCGGAAAAGGCGTCACGCGGCACGTGATCCGTCTGTTTACAGAGGAAAATTTTAACACGTATATATTATCTATAACGGCCAATGGCATTGACTATAATGCATCCATAACGGATTAGACTTAAAAGTCTTAGAAATTTCCTTATCTTCTTTGTCAATTACCCACTTGCTTAGGTACATGCAAGGCTCACTCGCTGTAGCGCCCCACATCCAAACCTTAAGCGCATCATCGAAATCTTTACTCGAGTTTTTTATTGGCATTACAACAAATGGACCTCTTGGACGAGACGCTTTTAATGACCATGCTGATGTAACGAAACCAAATGATGAACCATATGTAATCACCAAGTCATCACATAAACTAAGCAACTTCATATCGGTAAGAGCTCCTGCTTCCGTACCAGTGTTCGTATTATAAGGGTTTTTCACATCCATATCATCATTAGTATGAACTATCTTAATGGAATTGTTGTTATAAGTAGTTATTTCATGAAGTAAATTTACTAATTTTTCACGACCAATATTAGAATCTGCAGCCACAAAGATTGTTATATTCATGTTTTTCATTCCTAACATCAACAATTTCACTGTTTCACTGAAATGTTCTATGGGTGTTATTAATCCACGTGTTGCTTTTTTCTCTCTTAAATGAACTCCTATAGTATAATTTGTAAAATTATTGACCGCAAAAGTCTCTACTTGTTTACTAAGAGTTTGGTTCAATCTTAATAAGTTTAGG